AACTTATCAGATAAAAATCGGGTACCCGATTTAACTCTGGAGTTAATCTGAATATAAACCGCCAAACCTTAATTACAACAGAATCATTAGAAACGTATCAGTTAAAAATCGGGTACTCCGGTAGGACTTTGGAATTAATCTGAATATAAACCGCCAAACCTTAATTACATCAGTATCATTAGGTAACCTATCAGTTAAAAATCGTGTTTATCGGTAGGACTTTGGAATTAATCTAATTATTATCCGCCAATCCTTAATTACATCAGAATCATTAGTAAATGTATCAGTTAAAAATCGGGTACTCCAGTAGGACTTTGGAATTAATCTGAATATAATCTGCCAAACCTTAATTACATCAGTATCATTAGGTAACCTATCAGTTAAAAATTGGGTTTACTGGTAGGACTTTGGAATTAATCTGATTATTATCCGCCAATACTTAATTACATCAGAATCATTAGTAAACGTATTAGTTAAAAATCAGTTACTCCAGTAGGATTTTGGAATTAATCTGAATATAATCTGCCAAACCTTAATTACATCAGTATTATTAGTAAACATATCAGATAAAAATTGGGTAGCCCAGTAGGACTTTGGAATTATTCTGAATATAAACCGCCAAACCTTAATTACATCAGAATCATTAGTAAACATATCAGTTAAAAATTGGGTACCTGGTAGGGCTTTGGAATTAATCTGAAAATAAACTGTCAAACCTTAATTACATCAGAATAATTAGTAAATGTATCAGTTAAAAATCGGGTACCTGGTAGGGCTTTGGAATTAATCTGAATATAAACCACTAAAACTTAATTATATTAGTATAATTAGTAAATGTATCAGTTAAAAATCAGGTACCTGGTAGGGCTTTGGAATTAATCTGAATATAAACCACCAAACCTAAATTAATTTGGAACTAATAATATAAATATCGGCTATCTATATATCATTATAATTTATCTGATAAATATAAAATTGTAAATATAAATATACAAGAAAAATATATAATAGCTATCTGCAAGCATTTATATAATATACATATATTTAATATACATCTATAATACTATATATATAGTATGTATATAATATGAATTAAATATATTATATATTATAATAATACATTAAATATGAAATTTTCTATTCAATGGAATAACTGACATATATTCTCTAGGATTTTTTATTCTGACTTTGATAGTACCAGAAATCAAGCGGCCTAAAATATTATGTATAGGGATTATACAATCTCTACTTAAATTATAGAACTCCTTATTCCATAATTTGATATTACAAATACTGTTTACTTCACAATGGAACCTTGTTTTAGAATCTTTAACAGCTTTATACCACCGAACGAAAGCCAACATATGTTTCTTTGGACCTTCTGATAGCTGTACTACATGCTCAAAGTAATATTAAGCAACTCCAGGAAATATGTCAGTTGATCTGTCGTCCAATATAAATTTTGCAAGTATTTTTGCTGACTTTTCATGCCTTTTCAAAAAAGTAGACCTGAAAACTTCGTCTCCAATCTTTACCCTTCCATAAATGGTTACATTGAGTAACACCGGTATGGAAATAGAACTATTTGTATGAACATTTGCTAAAGAAAGGAACCTATAGTTATATATATTATTATAATATTGTGTTAACAATACTAACAATTCATTTGGAAGACTCCGTTAACCTTCTTTTGGTGATAATAATTCACCCAGGAATGGTTCAGAGCCTGTTCCTGATTTTTCTTCAACATTTACAGACATTGAAAGAAATTCCTAGTAGTCATTTTCATTATGAATAGAAAGACTACCAGTCATATTCTTTTGTTCAATGAACTGTAAACATGCTTGTAAATGACCATCTGTACTCGAAGAATGCTCATCCAACAGAGAATAATATTGCATAGTTTTAAGTAATTCAGGCTCAATCCTTCTATTGCTGCTATGTAACGATCCTAATATAGTATATAAATAATTTTATATAAATGTTAATTAAATATATATTGTATATTATATATAAAATTATATATAGTACTCTTTGATTAAATTATCTAGAATAAAGTAATTTTAATTTTACTAATAAATAGCATGTCTAATAGACTTTAAAATTTAGATATACTACATACATACATATATACTAACACCTAATATATATATCTAAAGAGCTATCGGGATACCTATAAAACTATCAATATATCTAAATATTTAGCTTACCTAATAAACCATTCATCCGTTTATAACAAAAGCACCAAAATGCATATAAAGGGCTGTAATCCATAACACATTCACATATATGTAAACATAAATGCAAATTAGGTGTTATTTTTTCTGATCTGTAGGTTCTTTCAATAAGCATCACCATATTTAGAAAATATTGGTGAGCCTCTACCAATTTGTCTTTATTAATGATTCTACATACGAGAATTGAACAGGCCTGAACAAAATAAGTCAAAATTTTCTGGTTAACATCTTGTAACAAATCCCAAGTAATAGTGGATGCATACACCAGAACGAAATTCTTCCATTGGTCAGCCGTGAACCCAGAAAAACTATCACCTATTGCTATTTTATTAGGAAGTCTTCTGATATTAGAAGAAACTTGTATCTTTTTAACCCGATTTTCCATTAGAACTAGGTCTTGGGATGTTAAGATGTCTACATTTAATGTTACAAAATAGACATAAAAAAATCGATTAATTGGTTAGTTGACAACAATTGAACAATTAATTTAATTAATTAGTTGCAACTAATTGATTAATCGATTAGTTGCAACTAGTATGTTAACTGAAAAATAATTATTCAATTGAAAAAATTTTGCCAATTTAGGCCATACAAACTTATACTATTGGTTTTCATATCACCAAGTAACCTTTCATGACCCGGCAACCCGGATTTTTATTTTTTTTTAAAAAAAAATTTTTTAATAAAAAAAAATTATT